CCCCAAAACCCCAAAACCCCAAAACCCCAAAACCCCAAATTTCATAATAAATATACAAAGGGATATAAATTATTATACGGAAAATGGAGCCTAAAATTGCACCTAAATTAGATCTAAAATCTCTGTCCCAGGTCCAAGTCTGGGAAGACATTAATACCGGCAGAAAATATAAGTATAAAGTTGGTCTAAATAAAATGGTAAAAACTCAGATTAATGGCTACGGAGATGCTATTACAACAAGAAAATTTCCTGATATCACTGGCAAACTTAACTAAGGCCAAATGTGCATCTAAGATAGCAAAAATGCCCCCAGAACTAAGCCTTGACCCTGAACTTAGCTCCCAGCACAAACACAGACTTGCGTTATCAAAGAGCACAAAATTTCCTTCGAAGTCCTGAACTATTTTGCCTGATCTTAAGCCAAGTAAAAATCATAGTAAGCATCCTTCTTTTCCTCTCTTATGTCTATCTAAAATTTAACCGATGAGATCTCTACTGCAATCTTTTTAATTTTCCGAGCTAGTGCATGAGAGTAGTGGCTTGAGCATAATTTTTAAACTTTCAGTCATAGTAAACCCCAGGCATTTTCTTGATAAACATTTTATAACATACCAAATACCTGTCTAAGGGTTTTAGTAAATCCCATATAGTTGCAATTAAGAATTTGCGATATTCTTATCCAATCCTTTCTTAATCTGTGAAGTTTGGATTCCATTCCTCATATTAGTAGATTCTACACCAAATAGTTACCTTCTTAAGTATAAAAGACAGGAAATTATAGACAATTGATTTTATAAACTCTTCTGCATTCCTATGTCGAAATATCTCTGAATTTCACTATTTTCGACCCAGCAGACTAGCTCTAGACTTTTAAAACATCATACTATCAACGCTAACTCGTTCAACTCCAAAATCCTATCAAAAACATTCATTAATAAACTAATCTCTTTTCCACACATTTTTACGTAGCCTTATTTTGGTTAAAGCTTGCAAGAAAGGAATGACACAGAAGTTTCAATGAGCAAGCCAAGCCTCGTCTATAGCAACCTGGGATATCACTGCATGCAGAGAGATGAAAAGCGGAGGCAAGTCAGGAGGGTTGTTTGATAAGAGTAATTTAGAACTTGTAATTTCTTAATATTGGGTAGGTGGGAAAAGTCCGAAGAGAGCGGATATGATGCTGATAAAAGCTAAAAGAAAGCCAAAGACAATACAGGATACGTATAATATGGATACTAAGACTAATTGGAATCAAGGTAATTTTGTAAAAATATGTTGATCTCTTACTTTGTATAGTTCAAGAATTGCCAAAAATAAGAGACTCTATTGAAAATAATGTTTCATCATTTATATCAAGAATACAAAGCAACACTTTAAACAAAGCTTGCAATGACTCAGTAGTAGAATCTGAGAGCAGTGGTGATGAAAAGCATGTAAAGGTTCATGGAAATTATGAAGAATCTCCAGTGAAATCAACCATGATGATTCTCGCCTCACTTAGGCATGACACTCCAGTAAATCATTTATTCTTTTTCTCTTAAATCCATCTAAAGTTTGGCATATGCTTATTTTATATTAAGCTTGCATTCTAAATCCATCTCTTGGAATAGGAATGAATAGTATCTCCAAAGGTTTGAGACTAAAAGCCATCTATCTAGTAATATTTAATGTCTTCATGTATCCCATTAATTCATACCAAATCCCTCCATTAACCTCTTATTTATAGTCCAAAATAACTCCTCTCAAAGCTCCTTGCCCAAGTTCAAGATCCCTTCTTCTTAAAGAAGAGCCTTTTAAATAAAATCAGACTCAAGCACCCATCTGATTTCTTCAAAGAAGAGCATAAAAACCAGATCAAAGTCAATCCTGGCTACGCCCAGCAGACACAAATGTTCTCAGAGAAAGACAATCAAAGACTCCTAGAAGCAAAGAAAGGAAGAATTCTTAGTCAAAAAGTACTCCTTAAGAGCATGAAACTGAAGGAAAAGAAGATGCTCAAGAGTATCAAAAATAAGTACATTGATCTTTAGATTACACTAAGATGTTTTCAATATTTCCTTGATCCTAAGGGGTTTTGGGGTTTTGGGGTTTTGGGGTTTTGGGG